CACTAAGCTTCGTGATTACAGTGTTATGTGTTATGTGTTTCAGGTTCTTTTCAGGATCGCGGGAAGGCGCCGGCTTGATTGTACACACCAGAGAAAGAGTTATATTTTGAGGATCCTAGATTCTTAATTAAATAATTATGGAGTTGTGTTTGTAAATTAAATAAATGGGATTTTTGTGAAATGTGTTACGAGAATTATGTGAAATTAGAATGAAAATTTTGTTTCAAAATTTACAGTGTTACAAGATGGGTCCCCGATACATTAGGCCATTCGGGATCATTGCCAGGGTTGGCAAGGTGGCGTATAGATTAGATCTCCCTAAGGAGCTCAGTCATATTCATATCATATTCCATGTTTCACAGTTACTGAAGTGCATACTAGATGAGGAGGTAGTGGTGTCATTAGATGATATTCAGGTCGATGAGCACCTGAATTACGTGGAGAGCCCAGTGGCCATTATGGAGTGGAAAGTGAAGGTTCTACGGAATAAGGAGATGCCCTTGGTAAAGGTACAATAGGAGCATCGGAGGGGACCCGAGTGGACTTGGGAGCCGGAGGCGGAGATGCGGGAGCATTACCCGGAGTTGTTCACCGCAGCAGACTTCGAGGACGAAGTCTAGTTCAAGTGGGGGAGAATTGTAACATCCCGACTCCCAGGTACATATTTTAAATCTTTTTTATTCATATTATTATGGAAACTCGACGAGTTGGAGGCCCCAACTCGTCGTGTCGAATCTGGTCAGCCTGCATGGTTTATGGCATCTACTCGACGAGTTGGAGGACCCCAACTCGACGAGTAGAGGTTGTGCATGGAAACCCTAATTCTTAGGGTTTGCACCCTATTTAAAGGATCTTAAGTCCCTCCTCCAGCCTCCTTTCCACATTTTGACAGCCATAAGCAAACCCTAATCAATCCAAACCATATTTTGAGTGTGTGAGGCTAAGTGTGTTTTTTGGTGCATTCCTTGAAAAGGCTTGAAGATTTAGAGGCTTGGAATGAGAAGAAGCTTGTTGATCCAGTATCTACATCGTGTTGGCATCCAATAGAAGGTAAAAAGTCTTTACCTTGGCCTTTTATTTCCTAGATCTCTTTGTATGTTAGTTTATGGGCATTTTAGTGCCAAAAGGGGGTCATGCTTGGGTTTGAGCTTGTCATGAGAACGTGGTATCAGATCTGGACTCCCCTAGGCCCTCATGAACATAAAGTTCTCAAATTTATCTAGCCATGGCCCTTTTCCATGTCCAAAACTGTCTTATAAGTCTATTTTGAGTGTTTTAGCTTCTTGAAGCCTTGCATGTACGTAAAGTTAGCAACTTTACGTGATAACTACACCCTAGGAGCCTAGATCTACAATTTGGAGCTTTGATTCCGCTTAAAAGCGTCTGAAGGAGAAATGAACTGAAGGTACTCAACGAGTTTCATAGTCAACTCGACGAGTTGGATGAGGGTTTCCCGTTTTATGGATTCTACATGAACTCAGTTAGTTAGAACGGTAACTCGACGAGTTGGTTAGGGTTTACCTGTCTTTTGGACACTGCATGAACTCGATGAATTGTTGGGAAACTCGGCGAGTTGGCTCGGGTTTTCAGTCTTTGAGTTCTAAAGGAACTCGACGACTTGGGTCAACAAGGATTGTTGACTTTGACCAAGGTTGACCAAGTTGACCTTGAGGGTATTTTGGTAATTTGGGTCTTGATAGAATTGGTCCTATGATGATTTGTAGGTGTTTGAGTTTGGAGCGGTGTTTAGGGAGTTTGACATCATCATCCAGTGCTACTCGTGAGGTGAGTTTTCCTCACTATACTCAAGGGTCTAAGGCACCAAGGCTGGCTCTTTGGATTGTTATTCTGTATTACTGTTATGATCTGTTAGATCAGCATCCTAGTAGGTAGGATGTTGTTATGTGATTATGATCTGTTAGATCGGTATCCTTGTAGATAGGATGTTGCTATGCTTAGTGATCTGTAGATCAACTTGACTGTCTGTAGACTGCTATGTGGTTATTTGATATGTGTGCACATGTTTGATTGGTGGTTGAGGCATCTGCTGGTGCATGAGCCAACAGACCTGGGCATTCCAACCTGATGGTTGTGGGCAGAGAGTATTCCATCTCGAGGATGATTGGACTCTTAGTATGTGCGCATTCCAACCCGATGGTTATGGGCCGAGGGTATACCATCCTGAGGATGACTGGACCCATAGTATGTTGGCATTCCAATCCGATGGTTGTGGGCCTGGGGCATTCCAACCCGATGGTTGATTGGGCCTATAGTATACTGTTATTGTATATGTGTTATATATTGTGCGGGTATTTTGGGGGAACTCACTAAGCTTTGGGCTTACAATTGTTGATTTTCTTTCAGGTACATCAGATGATTGCGGGAAGGAAAAGGCGTGATCGTGCACCTCCTCATATTTTATGATTTGATTTCTAGGATACTCTGACATGAAACTATTTTGAAAACACTTTGTAATAATTAATGGTTTTTGAATGTTTTAAAAAAAGTTTTAAATTGGCTTGAATTTTATGGATGTTACATTGTGGCCATCCAAAATGCTCATTCTTATAATAGACATGCCATGTCGTGGTTCTTAATTCTCCACGTCGTGGCACCAGGTTTTTCCCAAAAACCTTACATTGATCCCTCCAAGTGCTTAGTCGATCTATTCTGGAAAACGAGTTGTTATAGTTTTCTCACTATACTATATGATACAATGTATATCCTTATATGATATGATATGAGGATTATTATAGTAGAATGGTATGAGTAGTCTACCATAGTCTTATGTATGGTTGATTACATGTTTATATGATTCGTTCATATGTATATTTGAGGAGTTAATGGGAAACAGTGAGGGGCCATCAGCTTATAAACTCGTGTTGACGATGAAATGACGACATGTCGTAAGTTCAAATACACATTTTATCGATGAAACGACGAGAGGTTGTGAGCAACGTTATTGGTGAAACGACGAGAGGTCGTGAGCAATTATTTGTATACATTATTTTTGTAGTATTGATTATGATATTTTTGGGAACTCACAAAGCTTGTACTTACAGTTGTGGATTAAATGTTTCAGGTCGTGCTTCTGGTAGTAGAGAGGCTCTAGTTGGACTGTAAGGAATGTGCATATCATGTTTTCTATGACATTTTGGAAGGTTAAACTTATATTTTAAGATTTAGGTCATTTTTAGTCATTGAACTTTTTTAAATGCTTTATTTTGGTCATTATACTTTGTTTAAGTTATCATTGGTCATTGAACTTGTATATTCTGTTCATTTTGGCCACTCTAACCGAGATAGCAGGTGTATAGTATCAAACGATGTTTTTCAGGTTATAATTAGTCATTGAACTTTTATGGGTGTTTTATGTTAGTCATTATACTTTGTTTAAACTATCATTGGTAATTGAATTTGTTTATTTTTATCATTTTAGTCATTTGATTTTTTAATTATCATTTATGAAAAATTAAAAAAAAGCTACTATTTTTTCTTTTCTGCACAACTAAACTTGTTAAATCAATTATTTAAAGTAAATTATGTGAATAATCCTTGTGATTTATGGTAGGGTGCACATTTAGTCTTTAACTTTTTTAACTCGAACACTCCCAATAACTTTAAGAAAAAACTATTTTGCCATTATCCATCTCATGGCTCTTGTCATTGGTAGAAACACATCAAATCATCATCGGTAATTAGTTTTACGTTAGATGATCCCATGGAAAGTCTTTGTATCGGGTGGCCCAAAGCAGCCAATATTTTGGTACATATGAATTAATTGAAAGCACTAACAAGTCTATTTCTTCCAAAAGCCCGAATCAAGGGTTTGTATGAAGCAATTGAAAACATTAAACATGCATGTTACCCTAAATCATAATGATTATTCATATAATTTACTTTAAAATAATTGATATAACAAGTTTAGTTGTAGAGAAATAATAAAAAAAAATGTAGTTTTTTGAAATTTTTTTATAAATGATAATAAAAAATAGAGTGACTAAAATGAAAAAAAATAAAAAAATTTAGTGACCAATGGTAGTTTAAACAAAATATAATGACTAAAATAAATCACCAAGAAAAATTCAATGACTAATCATAATCTTGACAATGTTATATACCGCCTATCATCGGTTAAAGGGACCACAATGACCAAAAATAAACAAGTTTAATTACAAATAATAGCTTAAACAAAGTTTAATAATCAAAATAAAGCATTTACAAAAGTTCAGTAACTAAAAACAACTTAAACCTTAAAAATAAAAATTTTGGATTGAAAATTAAAACGTTTCAAATTGATGTGACAAATAATTTGAAAGAGACAGAAGGAATGAACACTCTCTATCCTAAGAGCATTTACAATTGAAAGTTTAACCAAAAAGTTAAATAAGATTACAAATCTAGTGTCATGGATGAAACTCTTCTCTGTAATTTTTGGTATTAAATGAATTTTAAGTTTAATTGTCATTGAACATTACAACGAGTAAAAAGAAAGTTTTTATTTTTCAAAAAACAAATACTTAAATATATTACATTAAATTTATAATATTTTTTGTATTATAAAAATTAATAAATTTATATAAAATATAAAATAAGGATATAATAATTGTTTATAATTATTTCAATACGATATATAAAAAAGTTTGCTAAAAGACATCCTATTTTATCGTTTACACACCGTATATAAATGATATACGAAAAGTCTTTTAAATCTATAAATTTCTACACAATATGTCTTTAGCCTCCATTTAACTCCCATGTGTGTGGTGTTGGTTTATGCAAGTTTTTATCCTTTTTATGCCAAAGGGGACACGAACAAATATGCAAAAGTAGCTTTTTAGATTATTATTGATGGTTTAATCAATACTTTCTTTGAGAGTCCTCCGTGTCTACATCCACAAACAAGGACATAATCGTCATTTTTATCTCTCTCTCTCTCTCTCTCTCTCTCTCTCTCTCTCTCCATAACTGAAAACGACTGCAAGCAACCTCTGGTCGACTTGTTCAACCCCACTCCCCCACACCTACGCTTTCTACACACACACGTATACGTCTATATATATACACCGCCTCATCCCATTACTCTTCTTTATCTCTCTCTCACACACAGATCAAGTGGTCTGAAAAAATGGGGGATGTTGAAAGAGTCTGTTGTATGTGTGGTGACGTGGGTTTCGCCGACAAAATCTTCCGATGTATCAAGTGCCATCACCGCTTCCAACACTCGTACGTCTCCGCACCCTCGACCACCACCATCTCTCTCTCTCTCTCTCTCTCTCTCTCTCTCTCTCTCTCACACACACACACAGAGCACGTATAAGTTTATGACTGTACATATTCTAACACAACTGCAGATGATCGCCGGCCACCACTTTCCGTTGATATTCTGATATTCATGCTATTCTGTTTTTCTGTTTTGACTATTTTCAACATATCCGCAAGTTGATTCATTTAAATAGGGATATATCACTAGAATATTATGAATTTTTTTCTAATTTACCTTCATGAAAACACACTTCACCATGTTACAAAAGGGACACCATAGCTTGCGTAAGTGACAGGAGGTAATTAATAACTATTACAACCAACGCCAGTACCGCCTCCAGCCGCCCACCACCACCACCATCTCCTTCACGAAGTAATTATTTATTCCTTTTTATAGCTTGATTACCTACGTACTATTTTATGTTGACCAGCTTGACCATATATTAACACCGATATTATAATCTCCATGTGTAATTCCTGCAAATCTTTTTGTTCTCCATAAATAATGTTCTGAAACTCTTGTCTTGGTAAGTGGACATCGCACCTGTTCAATCATAAATTTTAACTATTCTTATAATTAATAATCTAATTTAATTTGTCATGAATGATCAGGTATTGTAGCAACTACTATAGCGAATCATCGGAGCCTCCGGAGCTATGTGATTGGTGCCAAACCGAGGTGATCAAAACTACGAAACACACCGGTTCTTCCAAGAAATCAAGCTTAAAATCGGACGCCGGAATCAGTAACCGGTCAGAATATTCCGGTGACAAGATCAAGCAACATGATCGTGAAGAGGGTTTCGAAAAAGGCAAGTCATCCTCATCCACAGGAGCTCCTTCCCCTAAGACTAGTACTCGAAGGTACAAACTTCTGAAAGACGTCATGTGTTAAATAAAGATCCAAGTTTGGTGCCAAAGGTGAGACCTTTATGGAGTTTAATGTTCCCAGAGGGTAATTCTTGGTTTGACTTGAGGGTAAAAGGGGAACAAAGTATTGTCTATAGAGGATGAAGATAGAGAGTGTGGTGAAAACAATCGAGTTCTAGCTTTTTACTGTTTCTTTTTTTTTTTTTTTTTTTTTTTTTTTTTTTTTTTTGCTTTTGTGATATGTGTTTGGACTTCCATATAACTTGTTTCATAGCAGTAGCAACTAAATAAGTTTCCTAATTGATCTCTCCCCTTCCTCGATCAAATTGCATGGCATGCATTCGTTCGTATTTTTATAACCCTTAAGTTGCAAATTCATGTTTTTAACAATGAAATAAAATAAAAATTCAACGTGTTGGTTTATTAATTGTTTAAAAACATCGCATGTTATGTATACTTGAAGTATAAATTAAAAAAATACAATGTGTTTGTAAAAATATATATTTTTCTTTTTTCACTACTACAACTAGGGATGCACAAGTATGATTTACGTATATTTTTGTTTTATTTTCAAGATAGAAAACTTTGCATGGGAATGATCTAGGGTTTATCATGAATAAATAATTGTGGATATATAAACTGTTGTGTTTCTATCTTATATTTTCATGAGTTTAATTATTAATTTTGCACTTCTTTTTTACTCTTGTAATGTGATAAAAATTTATAGATTTGTTTTTTCTACATCTTAATTTGGGTGAATAATTTTCATTCCAAAAAGAAATTGTTTAAATACAGAATAAGAAATAGTTTTTGGTATATTATAGACAAAAACGGTATTCACATTATTCAGGGTTTGGGAATTTCAGCTGTATTTCATTCTAGCATTAAGCTGCAAATTATTATATATATATATATATATATATATATATATATATATATATATATATATATTAAAATTGTGAACAAAAGTAACAGTTAACATGACACATTTTGCCCAATTTTCGTCCCTTGAATTACATTCTCAGTCCATCTATTTTTGTGTTTGTGTGTCACTGATTAATTTTCGTCCCTTGAATTACATTCTCAGTCCATCTATTTTTGTTTGTGAGTCACTCATTATTCTTAGTTTTTATAAGGGGCTTTATAAGGGGCAATTTTTGCCAATATGTGTATTCTTTTGTGGACACGTGACATAAAACTCGGTGTCACATACACACGTGTCTTCCATTTATAATCCACCGCTTCTCATATCCAATAGCATATCGCCAGGTTTTTTCATCACCACCTCTGTTTCTTTCGTATACCGATAGAATCCTATTTTCCTTCTCCTGTTTCTCAGTCGTTCCAGAAACCTCTCATACATTGCTTCTCACAAACAAACTTCCTCCTTCACCGGTGGCTTTCGACCATACCGATGCCTCCAAAACTCACTTTCTCTCTCTAAACTCATCCAAAACTCTACTACAGTATCCATCGATCCGACTTCCAGAAAAAGAAAAAGAAATCAGAATCGACGAAAAAGAGACAGGCTGGCCAGGTGCGTGCGTCGGCCCTCCACCGTCTCATATTTTCTTTTTGTCTTTCTCTATTAATAACTTCGGTCGTCTCACCCCTGCTACTCCAAACCACAATCGATTTATCCTCTTTAGTTCAACAGGGAAACAACAACGTGGTCGGATCGTTGGTGGTATATCTACTTATGGACTTAGTTTAATCCCTCCGCTCCTTGTCGATGTTTCCTCCACCGCCTCTCCCTGTTTGCTCTACCTTCCACTGATTGTCGTCACGGGAACGAAAAAAAGGAGGGCAGCCGTGGTGACGGTGCCGACCACCGGAAAGTGCAAACGAACTTGATTAGGGCGTAATGCAATCATTCATGATGCCAAAGGTAATTAATCAATTTTTTTGCAGTTTTTTAATTCACCTCTTTTACATGGATTATCAATCTGTCGCTCCTGCTTCTATGTTTTATTAATCTTGTATGCTTTTATAGTTGCTTTATATATTAAATTCAGGCTCTGTATTTTTGTATTCCATTTCGTGACCTGGTTGAAAATCCAGCAGGGTTTGGAAATAATAATGAGATCTTTACTGTTATGGACGAAGTTCTGGCTGCTGCCCACCAGGTATTCGATGAAATGCCCGGGTCTCTTTTTCTCTTTTCTTATCATCGCTTTACCTTTATTTTATATTAGTTTATTTGATAGAGTCATTGGTGTTGTAAATATTCGAAGTGTTGAAGAATAAAGAATCGGTGTTCCTATACAAGGTATGCAATTCCAAATTGTGTTGTATGTTTTTTATTTGTTTGACAGATACACATATGGTTACGTTTCTTACTGCGATCAACCACCGACATAACAACACAAAAAATATTAAATATAAACAAATGCCAAAACCATTATTAATATACACCCGAGAAATTGTTTGAAACGTTATTCTTATTTCTGCACCCTGCTTCCCTGATTGGTTCCTGCTGGCAAGAACTGACATTAATGACCAGGGAGGAAACTTGAAGACAATACTTTGCTTTTCGTAATAGCGACTCAAGAAGTAAGAATAGCTAATGGACCAATTCACAAGCTACAATTGATGCATCTGGGATTGTAAGATTCTCTATAAAAAGATTCGTAGAGGTAATAATTTACTCATATTCTGCAATTTTGTAGTATTTCAGGATTAGTGGTTCTAAGAAGTTATTGATTTCATGTTTTCCTTTTTCTTTCAGATTGGTCATCTACATTCTAAGTTCAGGTTGGTTTCGTTGGAATTGTTAATAGACAAAATGTAGATATTTTGGATATCAGTTTGAGTTGCCAAATTGGAAAACTCATTAAAAAAAACTCATTTATTGCCATCATCGTCACTTGCTGTAGATGGACTTTAATTTAATATTTTCTATCTTTTGATTTTCAGACCCACGTACGTAAGAAGAAGTTAAGAAGGAGGTCACATGAAGAGATGTGCTTGAATGATTGAACATTACATTTAGTAAGCACACAACCAACTCCAAATCCCTTCTCAAAATTTTGGGGTTAAATAACATTTGTTTGTTCCTTCTATTAGATTTCTTCTAAAGAATGATGTACTATTTACAGGAACTTCTTCACCAACGAACTATCTTGGATTCGATAACACCGAATCCGAATGTTGAGGCATTTTAAGTATTGTAAGGCTATGATTGTCCATTTCCTGGTATTTTGATTCTATCCAAATTAATTTAGTTAAGTGTCTATTTCAGGAGTTATTTAACCTGGATGAAGCATTACCATTCTAACTTGAATCTACCATTTGCATTCTTTTTTAACCTACATGAAGCATCCCTTGCAAGGTTTTAAACATGGAATAGCAAAAACCATACAATTGGAGTCGTAGTTGGACACTCAGCTTAAAAGGAAGCAATGTCAAACCATTGGAAAATGAGGTAAGACAGTCTATTTTTTGGTGAAAAAAAGGAATTTATGGATACCTTGGTTCAATTTATGTTTAAAACACCACCATATAAGCTGCTTGACCACAGGCACGTTGTAATCACTGAGACCTTTATCAGTGATCTCGACAAGGACACAGTACTAATGCTCGATATGTTCCAGATGATGCAGGAGAACATGACAACAGCAATGGACATATGCAAGAAAATCATTAAAGACCACCCAACACCATGATCTACGAAAATCATATGTCGTAGCCAGCATCTAATATCGCTCCTACTATTTTGTAATCGAATGCAATGTAATGATCAGTAGTTTTTGTAATCCAATGGCATGTAATCATAGGTTCCTTTGTAATCTAATGCCATGTTAACTCCTCTCTTCATATATTTATCTGCTGAAAAAACAAAACAATACAAACTTAAACAGATAAATTTATATACACATCGTTTTGAAAACAGCATCTACTCCTTCGTGGGGGTCACCTTTCTAGTATATATAATTATTTTTTGTCTTGATATTGCTTTTTCAGAATTCTTATATATTTCTTTATTGAATGGCCTACAACTTGTCTAGATAATGTGTAGGAGATTTTTGTAAATATACGAGGAGCTACTAACCTATATCTATATTTCCATTTATTAATTATTTATATGTATTTAATTTTTAAAATAATTATTTATATTGAATCATATTAGTTTGATTTTTTTTGTTAATTGCACTTAACTTATTTTGCTACTGTAATTTTCAACTTACAACAAATGTTTTTTTTTTTTTTTTTTCATTTCAATATTACATAAAACAATACACTTTTTAAATTAACCGTACTGATCGTTGATTAAAATGTGGTGTACTTATAATATTGTCATTGGTTAGTATTAATTACAATTAACTTTTTTTTTTCAGCCGTTCAAAAGAAAAAAAAATACTTTTTTATCATATAATCTTACTATAACTTGACATACTTATTAACCATTGATATTCGTTTCAACAACAAATCTATACTAACAAATTTGGTTTTCTGAAAATCAAGCGAACATAACAATAATATAATTTTAAGGCATCTAAATCTTTAAGCTAAATATACGACACATGAATAAAATAATGTTATATATGAAGTAGACCAAACTTTTAAATTGAATGTACAATATATAATGCATAAAATAACAATTGATTGTACTTCTCGATAAGAATTCTCCTTTCATTTGACGTGGTGATAATTCCGAATTTAAAAATTAAAATAAGTTAGTTCTTGAATTTATGAGATATGAATGGGTTTTAACGAGACATAACATTTTTTGTAAAAGAAACTTATCGCCGAATGAAAATATTCGTGGTTGTGGTTTTGCACTGGTATACCACTACTGTTTTAAAGATAGACACTAGTCCCTAGTGAGAAATTAGCCGCAATTTAAGAGTTATAAACAATAATCCTCTATCTATAGAATTAACTAATTTATAATGAGTCTTAATCCAAAGGTGTGAAAGTACTTGTATATTATCTGCCAATAACTTGTTAGCTAGACTTATTGATTAAGAAAAAAGCCTTACTCATTTTGGAACATCCAAATCGACCCTACCATCGTTCTGAACAATGCATCAAGAGATAGCTTTTAAAATTTGGAGAGCGGTCTACCATCCATTAATACAAGCACTACCTTGAGATCTTGGCAACCAAATAACAAAATTCTACCAGTTAGTTACCTTGTCAAAACTTCAATATCTATAGGACATGTGAAAAGAAGATGAGTGCAGATTCTCACCAAAACTACAAAACATACAAGGATCGTGTATTGAGATGTCAATCCTAAGGAGGTTTGCTCGACTTTGGAGACGATGAAATTGCAATGCCACAAGAATGTACTGATGGTGTTTGGAATCATATTGCTCCATAGTGTTTTAACTATGATTTGGTCAAATAGAGCTCATCAATTGAGGATCTTAAATATGCATACATATAGGTTCCTCGAGTACCTAAGGACCATCGCCAAAAATCTTTTACTCCAACAAATGAGGATGAAGCAAGTATATTAGTGGCATGTTGAAAATTCAAGATAAAAACTTTTCAACGACACTTTCATTCACTTTAAACCTTATTATTTGGTTGATTTCGCATGTTCAATGTAAACCTCTATTTGGTTCTTGAACCGTAGTAATCACATGTTGAAAACATAACAAAATGGTACAGAAAAGTAGTAGATTGTTAAATTACCAAGAATATTTTTGAAAATAATAAGACGTTTACCAAATGATAAGTACTTAGTCATGGGTTTTGGGAAGCTAAAAACAATCATTTTTATAAAACAATTATATACGACAATAGAAACATTTAAAAAATAACTAGTTTATTTTACGATTATTTTAACAAAACCACCATCAGGATCCACTTATATGAACTAGAAATATTATAAAAACTATAGGGTGTTTAGAAGATAAGCTTTAGAGCCTTTGATCCCTCTTGGGAATTGGGAGTTGATGAAGATGGTAAAAGGCCAAGATACAATATCTCTAAAATGTATTCACCAACAAGACTAAGTCACCAAGAATGCTAGTTCTTTGTAAAATATTTATTACGCCTTTAAGTACTCATCATGTAACATCCCAAAATACGAGCAAAAAAAAAATTCATTTTTGAAACATATACTTAGCAAACATTAGAAATAAAACATTCACTGATCATATCATTTCATAAAAATGTCGCGTGTCCGGAAACCATTTTATAAAAACATAATAATGTCAGAGTGCAAATCCCAGAATAACTCATGATGCGGAAATCAATGTGTGTGTATGATGTGCCGCTACCGCGCCAGCTCTTTCCCCTTCGACGAAGAGGTACCTGAAAACAAAACTATAAACTGTAAGCACAAAGCTTAGTGAGCTCCCTCATCGTACCACATACCATACAGTTACATAACATACATATATTGTCCGGCATATCTGGGTGCCCGACCTACCCCTTCGGTCCTCTCGACCGGATACTGTCTAGCATATATGGGAGCTGGCCTCCCCTTCGGTCCTCTCGACCGGGTACTGACTAGTATATCTGGGTGCTGGTCTCCCCTTCGGTCCTCTCGACCGGGTACTGACTAGCATATCTGGGTGCTGGTCTCCCCTTCGGTCCTCTCGACCGGGTACTGGGGACTATTTCACCCCCTTACTACTACCACATAACACATTTATCACATAATCTATCTAGCATGTCTGGGCACGACCGCCCCTTCGACCCTATCAGCCGGTAATCTGGGGACTATCTCCCCCTACCGTCACTAGTACATAGCGTCATATCATTTTAGCACATAACATATCACAGGTAGTAACAACCCTAGATGAATATCACAGAGACAATCATCTATCATGCAACTCCTACTGGTGGGCCGGCATTGTGGCCGTAGACCCACCGCTACTGGAAGGTAACTCACCTCGTACAAGTGTCTGCTGATAATCTGTGCGGGAAACCTCCGTCCGCTGCTGCTCCGGAAATCCTCCGGCTACAAACCCCATAAACACTCAATTAGAAACTGATCTCTATACTTAGGGTAAAATGACCATTTACCCCCAACCAAGTCAAGTCAAAGTCAAAGTCAAAGTCAACTTCCAGTTGACCCGACTCGCCGAGTTGGGCCGTCAACTCGCCGAGTCCCTCACTCTCTACTCGTCCTCATCCGTGACCCTACTCGTCGAGTTGGGCCGTCAATTCGACGAGTTCTTCTCTCATTCGAACGCCCCATGAAAACTCATCCGACTCGCCAAGTTGATGAACAACTCGTCGAGTTGTCCTTTATCTGATGAACCAGATCTGTCCTCAACTCGCCGAGTTGATGAACAACTCGTCAAGTTCTAAGGAGATTGCCTTGGACTCGCCGAGTCCGTTCATGCACTCGCCGAGTCCCATGAACTTCCAGCACAATGGCTTAGTCCAGAACGTTGGGTCACTCCCTGGGACCCCCTTAAAACCTTTCTACACTCAACTGGGTTCTTTTGACCCTCAACAGAAAGGGCAAAAACCCTTAGACTCGCCGAGTTTAATAGTGGACTCGCCAAGTTGGTCATGTCCATACCCTAAATCTTTTGCTTTCTGATGTACATCCTTTGATCAAAAGATAGATCCAAGCTTCTACAATCGATCTAACACGTAAAGTTACAACCTTTACGTGCTTGCATGGGACTTTGAGCTCAAAAGGACATAAAACAAGCTCATATGGCACATGGAACCTTTCATGGGTGCAAAAGCAACCCAAATCTGCCTAGTGACTCTCTGAATGATGTCATTCAGAAGCTCAAACCCCCAACCACGTTTGCAAACATGGTTGGCTACCAAAATGGCTCATAAAAGCCCTAAATCTTCCCAAAGAGGGATCTAACAAATGAAAGAGCAAGGTATAGACTTTATACCTTCTGAAGACTGCAAATGATGCTCACAACTGAATCTCTCTAGCCTCCTCTTGATCCTTCAAGCTTTTCCTTCTTCCTTGAACCACAAAATCACCAAGATCACTCTAAATGCCTTAAAACTCTTCAATAACGGCTAGGGTTTGCTATGGGGGGTCTTCTGGGAGTAAATGGGACGAAGGAGGCCGAGGTTAAGGTGTTTAAATAGGGTGCACACCCCTGGATTAGGGTTTTTGTCCAAACAGGGTCTACTCGCCGAGTCCGGGGACCCGACTCGCCGAGTACATCACTTAAACCCCGCGTCCCATCCCGCTTCTACTCGGCGAGTTGGTCCTTCAACTCGCCGAGTCCAAGACCCAAAATGCTAAACATTTAAAGATTTGATAAAAGAATACGTACCAAGAACTAGGTGTTACAATCTCCCCCACTTATTTTAGACTTCGTCCTCGAAGTCTGCTGCTCGATCCTGGAACAGCTCTGGGTAATGCTCCGTCATCTCATCCATCGGCTCCCATGTCCATTCCGAGCCCTTCCGGTGCTGCCATTGCACCTTTACCAGCTCAACCCTCTTGTTCCTCAGATCCTTCGACTTCCGGTCGAGGATCGCTACAGGCCGCTCGATATAATTCAGGCTGTCGTCAACCTGAATGTCCTCGAAGGGTACCACTGCTGAGTCATCCACCAGGCACTTCCGCAGCTGGGAGACGTGGAAAGTGTTGTGGATCTGACTGAGTTCGGCTGGCAGATCCAGCCGGTATGCCACCTTGCCCACCCGGGATACAACCCTAAACGGTCCAATATACCTGGGACCCAACTTGCCCCGTTTCCTGAATTGGATGACGCCCTTCCAAGGCGACACTTTCAGGAGAACCTTATCCCCGACCTGGAACTCCAGGTCTGATCGATGCTTATCGGCATAACTTTTCTGTCGACTCTGAGCAGTCTGAAGCCTGCTCCGGACCTGCTGAATCTTCTCTGTCGTCTTGAGCACTACTTCGGTGCTCCCCATGACCCTCTGGCCTACCTCACCCCAGCATATCGGGGTCC